AAGAGACAGAAACCTTTAATAAATAAATAAAAAAAAAGATTAAAAAATAAAGGCGTCCCCAATTCTTTTAGTGAAAGAGGGGAGACTCTCAAGTCTCCCAGGAACACGACCCCCAGGAACTCACGTGGGACCGTCCTTGCTACAATCACACGAGGTTTATTGACAGGACAGGAACCAGCTGGGGCCGAAACTAATTTCCCACGCAGGCGTAGAGGAGTTTGACCTCGAGTAACTGGGAGAGGGGTATTTAGGGGAAGAAACCACAACCCAAAGGGGGTAGGGAAGGCGTCATTGGAAAATTCTGAAAATACTAGTGATCATTACAAGGGGGTAACTCCCCATTTTTCAATATTATAATCTAACTTTATGGTCAGCTAGTTCCTGGAACAGAGTCACTGAACCGGCTAACCTAGATTTTTGGTTCTTCTCTCCCTGCTAGATTTTTGGCTCTATTTTTCCTGCTAAATTTTTTTTTGGCTCTATACTTTCTGCTGGAGGGGTCTGGATTTATCCGGGTCTTTCATCAGTGCCTGCCTGCTCTATCAGATCAGTGAGATTCGTATTAATGTACAGCGCATCCATATTTTCAGAAGCCACTGGTGTGGAAGAAAAAAAGAACATGAAGAACAAGTACATGAGCAGAATTGCTATAACCAGAATCACCTGTAACATTGCCAAATGCACATGCAGATGCCATAGAAGCGGTCCTCAGGGCACACAGGTGTTTTCTCCTTTAGCACAGAGATATCAGTTTTCATGGACTGACCGCCTAGAAGCTCTTTTATTGACACCCAAAAGGCCTTTTAGCAAGTCAGTCCCTGCATACCAAAATCTCTTATCCGACCTAGAAGTTGTCTTGAGGAACCAACCATGGCCTAAGCAAACACAATCATAAGAAATCCAGGTTTGGCCGAGTGGTGGCCCACACCTTTAACCCCAGCTCTTGGGAGGCAGAGGCAGGCAAATCTCTGTGAGTTCGAGGCCAGCCTGGTCTACAGAGCTAGTTCCTGAACAGCTATGGTTGTTATACAGAGAAACCCTGTCTCAAAAAACAAAAACACCAAAACAACAACAACAAAAATGCCCAGAAGTGTCTTATAGCTGAGGTTATGCTAAGGTTCAGAAATTCCCAAGAAAGAGCAACCCCATGAATTTCAGATAACAATCTCTGATTATTTACCAGGGATTATTTAAAGACCTATGTGGCCATCACTCCAGAGTAAATGCCATGCAATGGCCCTTTTAATATTCCACTACAAGTAATAATCAACAAAATATGCAACTAAAGCTACAGAAGACCATCAGGCAGTGGCGATGCATGTCTTTAATCCCAGCACTCGGGAGGCAGAGGCAGGAGGATTTCTGTGAGTTCAAGACCATCCTGCTTTGCAGAGCAAGTTCCAGGATGGACTCCAGAGAAAAAACAGAGCTATTCAGAGAAAAAAAA